ATATATATATATATATATATATATATATATATATATATATATATATATATGCATACATATTTAATTATATATACCATATTCTTTTTTTATTACTACTCTAAATATAAAGTAACAATAATATAATATCAATATAATAATTTCTCATTCAACAATATAAGTGTAATATAACACATCTGTACTTAAATACCCACATAGCAGAGATGTCCAAAATATATCATAAGGATATCCTAAAGATATATTTGGGATATGTGATATCTTCAAGATATCTCTATGATGTATTTGGGATATTTTTGCTGTGTGGGTACATAAAATAAACTTACATTTTACTTACTGCATACAATTTATAATATATTACACTTTAACTTTCTGATGCATACGTATCTTAACTTTGCAAACTTCGTCGGTATGCTTTCACTGCCTATACGTCATCACGCTTCAATTCGCTTTCGTTGTTTATTTTTAATGGACGTAGGATTCTTATGTCAAATGCCACTTGTCGTATAACCATAAAAATTAAAGTCATTATAAGAAATTCTACTCACTTTGTACATAATATGCGAGCGCAGTATTACATTATTTTTCACATTTAAACCACATCGCTTGGTGCTTAAAAATTTTCATGGAAACTTACACAATTTACATATAAAGAAGAACATCTACGAGCAAACTAAAAGTTTACGTGAAATATTTCACGTTTTGAGAATTTACCTTTCATGGTTAACGTTCGTCTCAATTATTAAATTTACTCATATTGGATGTTTATGATAATTCGAGTTAGTACGAGTTAGTTTTACTAGGGTTGAAAAACATAATAAGCATCTAGTATTTTCATGATTCATGACAACTCAATGCTGTCCGATAAATAGAGTAGAGTAGAGTTAGGGCTATCGCACACAAATTGACATAACTGCATATGCATAGCATAAGATCGTATGGACCAATGAGCATCGAATATTAAGCATCGAAAACCAATATGGCGACTTAATACTCGATGCTCATTGGTACATACGGTCTTATGCTATGCATATGCAGTTATGTCAATTGTGTGCGATAGCCCTTAGGGTAGTATAGCGGATAGTATATATATATATAAGAATTAATAGTATCAGGTAACATAGTTTTGTAAAATATATAACAACAATATTACGAAACAGTTAGTTGTTACATGAGTTGTTTTAGAAAAATTAGAAGCACTAAATTAAATTATGAAAAGGTATCATGTATTTGTGAAATATCCAAAAGTAGAAAAGAATTCTTCTAACTTATTATTAATCTATTATTACTGAATATTTCACAAATGCATGATACCATTTCATAATTTAATTTAGTGCTTCTAATTTTTCTAAAATATAATAAATCATTGTTTCGTAATATTATTGTTACATATTTTACGAAACTATGTGATCTGATATTGTTAATTCTTATATATCAAAAGACACGGTAGTTTCTCGCGCCAAGTGCATAAGCGAAGCGACGCGCACGGGCAGCGAGACGGATCGTGTATATTCACGCGAAGCATCTCGTTGATCGGAGGCATGATTTATCATATCGTTTTACTATGACGGCTAAACTTACGAGGTTCTAGGTGAGCTTAATCGATTCTTTAGGGTTAATTATATTATTAAAAAACTCTTTATTTTTGTCCTACATTCCCTACAAGACGAGATATTTTAGCTTAAAGTCAGAAATTAGAAAAAACCATCTCAGAATTCGTCGACGCTAGGATATACGATTGCGGATCGGAAACAAGATGGCGTCTGTGTCCTTGTGTCACGTGACCCATGAGATGATGAGCATGCTATACGACACACGTACACGTGCATATACACATACAGCTGTATAGAAAGAAAACGAGAAAGAGAGTAAGAGAGGGAGAGAGAGAAAGAGAGGGTGAGAGAGGGAGGGAGTGGGAGGGAGAGGGAGAGGGAGCGAGAGAGAGAGAGAGAGAGAGAGAGAGAGAGAGAAAGAGAGAGAGAGAGAATGGTACGTGAGAGTGACAGCATGAGTGAGAGACAGAGAGAAAAAGCATAATAACTTATTGACAAGATATGTTTTTAAAAGAAAAATGTTATAATACAAAATATGAAGAAAAAAGACAAAAAGAAACAAAAGAAGAAGATTTTACTATCAAAGTATGTTTAACTAATTATTAAGTTATTATTTAATTGCAGCCCGTCTTCTATCGATAGAGTCTGCTGATCTAATCAGATTATGTCTGTTTACATATTGTGTTTCTTGTTGATTATATTAGATGCTTTCCAATTACATACACAATTCAGTGTTACACAAATCAGTTTATTGGTTGCATAATATCTTACAATTTAGTAATATGTGACCAATAAACTGTTTTTGTCAAGATGTATTAAGTGTGTGTCAAGATGTATTAAGCAATTGGAAAGCACCCATTGATTGATGCATAATATTTCTTGATTTAATATTAATATTAACAATGACAGAACATTCGTGTGCAGGTAGAGTGGATAGTGTTGCAAATTTTGTTGAAAAATATGTATGTGCTCTGTTCTGCAAGTAAGTATACATGTGTTCTGCAAATAAATATATTTATCTAAACAACAGAATATCTAAATATTTTATAATTACACAGAAGATGTATTACTTACTATCAAATATATTAATCATATCTTAATCTTATTATTTTTAATAATTACCATGAATATCAGTAATCAGTAAATTACTGTTCCGCAAGCAAGTATATTTATGTAAAAAACAGAAAGAGAGTATATCCAATTATTTTATAAATATAAGAATTTCATTAAAATCTCAATTGAATTTTTTCAGTAGAGTAAATAAGGATAGACATACACGAAACACTAAGAAACAAAGGCAAATAACTAGCACAATTGTTATTAAAAAAATGTTTTATTTATAGTATAACAAATATATAACAATGTATTTTATATATATATATATATATATATATATATATATATATATATATAGTCTATACATATTTATATACTTTATAAACTTTATATATATTATGTACTCTCTCTTACATATCTGAACTACATTTGACATACGGAAACCTTTGCTACAATTAGATTTAGATATGTAATAAATTAATTAAGAAAAAGAGAGAGAAATTGCTATATATATGTAAAGTAATAATTGATTACTATACATACATAAAATAATCTCTTCCTCTCTCTCTCTATTAAATAGTTTATTACATATGTATAAGCCTAATTGTAGCAAAGGTTTACATATACCTATTTATATACTTTATAAACTTTATATATATATTATATACTCTCTCTTGTGGTGGTGCTGCTGGAGCCGCTGGTGCTGCTGGTGGTACTGGTGGTGCTGTTGCTGGTGGTGGTGGTGGTGGTGGTGGTGTTGGTGCTGCTGCTGCTGCTGCTCCTGGTGCTGCTGGTGTTGCAGGTGCTGTTGCTGGTGCTGCTGGTGATGGTGCTAGTGGTAATGGTGGTGCCGTTGGTGCTGGTACTGCTGGTGGTACTGCAGGTGCTGCTGGTGCTGCTGATGTTACTGGTGCTGCTCGTGCTGCTGCTGCTGGTGGTGGCGCTAGTGGTGATGGTGGTGCTGTTGGTGCTGGTGGTGCTAGTGCCGCAATTGGTGCTGCTGGTGTAGCTGGTACTGCTGGTGCTGCTGCTGGTGGTACAGGTGTTTCAGGTGCTACTGCTGGTGATGCTGGTGTTTCAGGTGCAGCTGCTGGTGGTGCTGGTGCTGCTAGTGCTGCTGGTGATGCTGCCGGTCTTGCTGGTACTGCTGGTGCTACTGGTGCTGGTGGTATTGGTGGTGGTGGTGCTGCTGCTGCTGGTGCTGCTAGTGGTGCCGCAGGTGTTGCTGGTGCTGCTAGTAATGCTGCTGGTATTTCTGGTGCTCCTGGTGCTACTGGTGCTGGTGGAATTGGTGGTGGTGGTGGTGCTACTGGTGTTGGTGGTGGTGGTGACGTTGGTGCTGCTGGTGTTGCAGGTGCTACTAATGGTGCTGCTGGTACTGCTGATGCTGCTGGTGCTACTGGTGCTGGTAGTGGTGGTGGTGGTGCTGCTGCTGCTGGTGGTGGTGACGTTGGTGCTGCTGGTGTTGCTGGTGCTGCCCTTGCTGCTGCTGCTGGTGGTGGTAGTGGTGGTGCTGCTGATGCTGCTGCTGGTGCTGGTGGTGGTGGTGACGCTGGTGCTGCTAGTGTTGCAGGTGCTGCTGGTGGTGCTGCTGGTATTGCTGATGCTGCTGGTGCTACTGGTGCTGGTGTTATTGGTGGTGGTGGTGGTGCTGCTGCTGGTGGAGGTGACGTTGGTGCTTGTAGTGTTGCAGGTGCTGCTGGTAGTGCTGCTGGTACTGCTGATGCTGCTGGTGCTACTGGTGCTGGTGGTGGTGGTGGTGGTG